CCTAATCCTGTTTAATGTTTTAAGTTGTCTGGGTGTCCCATCACTAATCAGGGGCATTCTAGTAACTTCCTGTATCATTGTACTACACCATAATATAAATAATAGTACTGTCGACTAAGTAGAGTAGTTCGACATTCCAACATTTCTTCTTCTTCTTCTCTTTTCTGCTACTTCGGCTACAGTAATTTAGCTTTCACTCTCCATTTTTGTTTTATTTTATTTGGGGGGAGGGCATGTAAAGGTCACTTATTAGGGTTGCTCTTTTGGGAAATACAGGCATTCCTTTGCCTAAGGAATGTTGGAACCCCAATCATATGTGCTAAGCCTTTTTGACCCTAGATTTTTTTCCTTCAACCAAAGAAAAGGGGTATGGTGATGTGGAGAATAACAAGAGCAGCTGTCATTTGGTCGGTTTGGGAAGAAAGAAACAACAGGATCTTCCAAGGGCAAGTAAAATCAAAGGAAGCAATTGTTGAGGGCATCACCATCCTTATTTTACATTGGCTGAAAATTCTGAAACTCTTCAAGGACTTCTCTCATGATGATTTAATTAGAGGTTGGAGTACTAATAGCTACTTCCTCCTTCTCATATAGTGCAGGAGAGTTGGCCCCCTTCTCTACAGGCTAGAGTGAAGCTGAATTTTGATGGAAGTTCTCCAGGTCCTTGAGTCCTTCAGGCATTGGGAGAGTTTTCAGAGATGAGGAAGGAAAAGTACTGGCCCTCTTCTTGGGTCCAATTGGGACGGGAGACTCACTTCGGGCAGAAATAAAGGCCTTACTACAAGGCCTTAGACTAGCAAAGCAATGGGGTATGCAACAGCTAGAAGTAGAAGGTGACTCCAAACTGGTAATCGGCTGGATGCAAGCAAGAAAGTTAGGTGCATGGCCTTACAGGCAACCATTAAGGGAAATTTTGTACTTAGCAAGAGAGTTAAGGGTACAGTTTAAGTGGGTAAGAAGATCAGCAAATAGAATGGCCAATGTTCTAGCAAAGCAAGGAGTAAATAGGGGGGCTTTATTTTGGGCTTTCTTGTAGACTGTTTATGATTTTTGTCTCTTTAGCCATCCTTTGAGTGGTGACAGCTGTACTTTTTTAGTCTTCTTAATGAAAGTTACCGTTTCCTATAAAAAAACACTACTATGTAAAAATCATAGTTGTCAAGACGATGCCTAGGCAGCAAGGTGCCTATGCCTTATGGAGGAGGGTTGCCTCACCTAAGCATCCAACTTTTCTGTACAAGGCACTATAAAATACTTTTATATTTTTATTTGCTGATATTAATGAAAGACATTAATACACTAAATTATTCATTTTGCGGGTTTATATATTAGTTTTATTTTATTAATTTCTTATTTGTTAGGGTTCAATCAACACATATGTTGTTTTATGCTGTCTTGAACCCTTGAAGACTTCAAAATTAAACCAATAATCAAGGAAGAACTTTACTTTTTTTAAAGGTAAAATATGGTGTTTCCATCAAAAAGTGTTTTTGTTTTGGAACAAAAATAACTTTTATTAAAAGCTATTCCAAGAAGTACATGAGAGGATGCACTGAAGCCTAGAACAGCTTGGCAAAATTACAAGCCTATTCTTTTACTTAACCTTCTGGACTACTTTCCCTCTTGCTCATTGGAACTTAAAATTTTATCCACCCTTATTTTTTCCTAGGACAATAATAGGGTCTCACCATCTTAGCCCCCCTATATTTTCTCAATTGTCTTTTATTTCGTGTTTTTCTTCTCATGAATATGTTGATTTTCTATGTTTTGATATGGGGCTTATACTTATTTGATGAAGATTATTGATAGTTATTAGCAGTGTTCAGAGAACCAGACCAGGCATAGAACCGGAGAAGGGAGAGGTTCACGGGTCAAAGGTTCAACCGGGGTCGAGCCAAAGGTCAAACCATGATGATGTGGCATATATAATTTAATATACTTAAATATGGTGTATGGATGGCAAGTTCCTTCACTTTTAAAGAAAATAACCAAGGTTCAAGTCTCTTAATTTACATTTTCTTTAAAATACATGCGTAATAAAGTAATATGTACAATAAAGAGTCATTAGTTAATACAAGTTAAGAGGTGGACTAATGGTAATTAAGCAATATATGAAAATAAGAGGTCGTGGGTTCACATCTTGTTAAATACATTATAAAATTTCAATTGGTTAAAGACCCGAGCGGTTTCATGAAACCGGAACCGATTCACCGGTTTTCCAGTTAAAGCAGCCAGTCAGCCAGTTTTCACCGGTTTTTCAGCAAAAGCAGTTATTGGGGTAAGATCGAATTGGCCAAGGTCCCAGGTCACGGTTCAACTGCTCCGACCGGCAGGTCCAACACGATTTTCTAAACACTGGTTATTAGTGAAAGATAAGATTGCTGGTTGCTATGCAACCCAAGGAATTGCCCTAGGATTTAGGGTTTTATTAAAAAATACCATCACCTAAGCAAATTACCCTAAGATTTAGGGTTTTATTAAAAAAATTTCATCACCTATATGGCTAGGCAACAAGGCGCCCTCCTGTCATAGCTTGCAACTCTTTCTCCTTGTTTTCCCTTCCCGTGTTTTTTTCTGGTCAACTTGTCACCTGGTCGCATTTGTGGGTCTGTTTAGCCCTAAACTGTTTACTTGCAAAAAGAAAAACATTGACTTGGTCAACAACCTGATGACTCATCTGGTTGAACTACTGAACAATTTGACCCAATCAATGGGTCATGGGTTAGACATTAACCCGCTTTTTTCTTTCCTTTTTTTCTGTTTTTTAGCCATCTCCATCATTAATAACAACTCTCCTATATCACACTTATTTTCTACAAGTATTCTGTATTTTTCTGCATTTTATTTTTATTGTTTGATGTATGATTTAATAGGTTGAACCATTTGACCTGGATGGTTGAACTGCTAACCAGCTACCCAGAGGAAAAAGTTAGTTCCATTTCCAAGTTTTTTAAAACATTGGTTTCTTCACTTTCCACACTACCAATAGCCATGAAATTTTTTTACTGCAGTACTCATGGTGTGGTTGCTTGTGATGACTAAGCATCAACAACAATTAATTTGATCTAGCCAAACATACAGTTATTTTAAAACTTTTATTTGTTTGTACTTATCTATAATTATTTAAAATATTATCATATATGGTTTTGATTTTTACTTGTACATTCATGCTAGTTGCTTTAAGGATTTGTGATCATACATGATGGATTTTTTTCTTTTTTGAAAGATGATGGATTGCTGGTAAATAAATAGAAATAAGATGGAGTTCTTTTAAGTTTTCTTCCAATCGGCAGTATGCTGGTATGGAGTTGCAATAGACAAAGGGACAACCGAATACTTGAAACTGCACTCTTTCTTTGAAAACAAAGGTTTAACTCCCTGTGTTAGCCTATCCAACCTTCCTTCCATATATTTTTCTAAACAAAGATTATAAATTAAAGGTTCTATATATTTTTACCAATAACTGAAATTAAATTAATTCTATATCATTCTTTTATTGTGGATCTGTAGTCTATATTGGCTAATATAGATGGAATCATATCTTCTATTTAGGACCAACGTATAGGAGTCTTTACAAACCACCAAGGTGCAGTGGTGGTTTTGTATTCAGGTCCAAGTCCAATTGATATTGGAAACTCAGTAAAGGTTGGAATATTGGCTTTGTTACAAGGCTTGAGACTGGCAGAGCAGCTGGGTGTTAGAGACTTGGAAGTTGAGGGGGATTCAGAAGTAGTCATTTCATGGACCAAGCAAGTCAATTCCGCACCTTGGCTCTATAGACATGCTTTCAGGGAAATAGACCTCCTAGCAAAGAGGTTTAATTCTTCGGTTAGCTGGGTGAGGAACTGCAAATGGGATGGAAGATGTGTTAGCAAAGCAGGGAGTTGACACTGACAGACCCACCTTGTTTTGGGCAAAATTATAATCTAGAGTTTCTAAGGCTGGTAGAGTTCCCATCAGTTGTACTAATTTTCCGAATTAATTACTAAAGATTTTCTTTCTTTGCTGATAAAAAAAAATATCTTCTATTTAGGACATATCTTTTTGTGATTCACTAACAGTGCTAATGTACTTATCAAAAAATCAGTGCTAATGAACCAACTATTCATCATATTGAATAGGGAGGCCAAAGCAATTAGTCATTGCCACACTACACTAATAACACATTCAAAAATCATGAAGATATAGATTTTTCTAATTTAGAGGATTAGTCAGAGTTATAAGAGATGTAGGAAAGATGATTAATGCAAAAACATTAGCGGAGAGCTAGTTGATGAAGTAGTTCTAGTAGATAAGAAAATAGGAAAGGTATTAATGTCTAACCTTGCTCACAATTTTCCCTTGGGGTCCAGTTTGTTTGGTGACTAGTATCTGCCCAAGCATCTTCCCTGCAAGCAATGGGAACATGGGTCTGAAAACAGCAACTTCTATGCTATATGCTGAATGCTGATAAATTCAATTATATGGGGGAAAACCTTGTTAAGAATCCTTCCAGATAGGCAATTAGACATATCATGAACATGTCAGTCCTAGCTTATACTTGTGAAGGGAAAAAAAAATCACTCTTGGATGAGTTAACAAGAAGTGTCATTTGCCCAATCAAATATTTATAGGAGATTGTCCTCTCCAGTAATGCTTCTATCATCTTGTTTTATAGGAGCTTGTGAGGCCTCCTCTTGGGTTATTACTTACTTTTTGTTATTAGGGATTCTCCACATTGCTTCATTTATTTTATAATATAATACTTCTTTTTTCTACAATCACAGAGGAGGTAAAAAGGAATTCTAAAGATCTACTTCTCCCCTGCATCATCTTTTAATAAACGATAAAAATGTCATAAGTTGGCCCAATTATTGGGACTGCTTCCATGGCACCTGGGTTCTCATGATGCGGATCCCCTCTGAACCTATATCTCTTGTTTAACACAATCACAGGGGAGGTAAAAAGGAATTCTGAAGATCTACTACTCCCTTGCATCATCTTTTAATAAACAATAAAAATGTCATAAGTTGGCCCAATTTTTGGGACTGCTTCCCTGGCACCTGGCTTCTCATTATGTGGTCCCCTTTTGAGCCTATATCTCTTGTTTGACACATTCAACCAATATTAATGAAGATTCTTCTGTGAAAAATGGCCATAGCAATTGCATATATTGTGGATCAAGGATTCCCACAATGCAGGTTGCTTTTCCTCTTCCTCATTAATAATATTCTCATCCATAGGCAAAATTTGGAAATTAGAATTAGGAATACTGTTTTATAGGAACTCATGAGGCCTACTGTTGGATTATTATTATGTTTGGTTATTAGAATTAGGTATACTTTGTTTTCATCCATAGGTCTGAAAACATCATTTTATGATTTTTATAATGATGAAGGGAACATGATTTCTGGTTCTTAAATAGGGTGTTAGTTTTTTTTTTTTTTTTTTTTGAAAAGGGCAATGTATTCTTGTATTGATACGTATATGAAAGAAACATGTCTCTGTATAATGACTTAATGAGATTCTATTTAACTACACAAGTATTCAAATATCCCCAAAAAAGTTTACAGCCAAAAAAGAGGAAGATGGTTCATTATCCTTGAAATAAATTGTAGTTGATAGTCATTGCCTCAGAGCCTCCACAAATGCCATTGGTCACTCTCGCCACAAGATTACTTTTCTGTTCAAATATCCTTGAATTCCTCTCCATCCACACCATCCGCATAACTGCCAGAGGGATAGACCATAAATATCTTCCCTTCTGCTCATATCATCAACCTTCCAACCATGTAGCGGATCCCAAATAGTGGCTAGCAAGTACATCTGAAAAGCTACAGCCCTGAAGCACATCCATATTATTTATGGGAACAGAGGGTGTCCACCAGATTTACACCCTTTCTTGCATTTTCTTGGCTAGATCATCATCACAAAAAAAAAAAACTATGTGTGTATCTAGTTGGAAAGGGACTAAGGGAGTTGCCTATAATCCATTTTTTGTCATTAATACTGTTGAGTTATGAGCCGATGTTGAGTTATTGGGCCGAATTTATTTATTTTTTATTTACATAATTCAGTTAGGAAGTTATTGTTAAGTTATTGGGCCTTATGCCCATTAGTTTATGTTAAGTTAAATGATTCTTTTTAGCTTCTTACAAGTAGCTGACCTACTAAGGGCATACTTGTACTTGAACATTCTTTTTATGAGTATATAATTAAAAGGAAGGGGCGGCCAGAACTAATTCTTTTTGCTTCCTCTCATTCTCTTCTATTTCTTCTTCTTTTCTTTTCTAGCAGAAACTTTTCCCCTCTTCCTTCTTTCTTCTTTTCATAAAGTTTATATCAAAACAGCTATCAAAGCTTTTCTACTAATACAATACAAACTTATAAAAGGGATGTGCCATAAGATACAATTTACACAAACCTTTAATATATTCCTTGATTTGCACTAGGTAATCCATAATCCAAAGCTATGTTACAGTCTATCAGATACTAAGTTTTTGGATTATAAAGTATGGTGTCTTGTATGGTCGACCATGAAAGAAAGGTAAACCAATTATGCATGTAAACCAGGTTAGGGACCTTCACACTATTTTAATAATATAGAAAACCAGAAAACATAACACTAATTTATAATTGAAGAGTGTGTAAAACTAATCCTACTACCGAGAAGATGGACACTAAAAAATACTATATTCCATTTTACTTTGAAGCTAAAGCTGGAATTGTGAAATAACCAATCCAACAATATAAACATAAGCAGAAGTATAAGTTGATACCGCCAATTTCTTCAGCTTGATCAGCCTTGACAATATGAACTCCACCCTTAAGACCACTCTTGAAGGTTCCCAAGCCTCGTCCACCAGCAAGAATTTGGCTCTTAACCACCAGCTACACCAATCCACAAGCAGAATATACACTTTGTGATATTTATTCACTCGATACTAGTCTCACTCAACCATATTGACCCACACGAAATGCAAGAATATAAAATAAACTTATGCTCCATAAAACAGAGAGAATAGTTGCATTGCAATTAAATTAAACAACTAAAACTAAGGGAAATAGATCCGATTCCACCTTAAATACCCAAGATGTATGGACCATTATTTACCTCATTCTCCTTGGGGAATGCATTCTGAATTGCCTTCTTAATTTCTTCAACAGAAGAAACAGCAACTCCTCTTGGTACATTGATCCCATATTTGCTCATCAACTCGGCCCCCTGTTGCACGTTGCCCGGTTAGAAATAATCATCGAGGCACCAGAGGAACAACCCAAACGCGTACGAATTAGAGCAAACAATAGCAGTTTTCACGAAGAGCTAATCAAATTAATCAAGGACGATAGCAATGTTGGAACTTCTTTCAAAGTCATCGAAGAATTGCCATCAAAATAAAAATAGATACAACAAAAGATTAAAAAGAGCCTAAAACAGATCCAAAGGAGAAATAACTGATCATATTGGAAGAATAAAGAAAGGAATGACCTGATATTCGTGGATGTTGAGACGTCGGAGCTGCTGTTGCTGCCATTTCCCGGCGACAGAGAGAGATCGAGAGACGAGCTTGCCAAGCAATCCTCTCGCCATTCCTTGGCTCCTCCTCTATACTCTAAAGAAAGGGATGTTATCGAAAAAGCTCGGAGGCGAAATACTAAAGCCGATGAAGGCAGTTCAGAAGAAATGATTCGGAGAGAGAGAGAGAGAGAGAGAGAGAGAGAGGGCAAAACCTAATTTCTCCTTTCTATTTTTATGTTAATTATATTTAATTAAACATTTTTCTAAATAATTTTCATGATTAGAATTTAGAAAGCATCCCTTATGGAGTTATGGTCATTGTGGAGAGCGGCAACTTTTCTTTTGTAGGCCCAAAAGTAATGCTTTGAAACAACGTTTAAGCCGTTGTTGCCGGTTGGACCGTTTTAACCATGGGTGACGACTGACGACTGACGAGTACAGTTCCGTCTAACATCAAATGGAATTGATCAAATTAAGGTTCGAAGTATATTCGGCGTATTCATTGTATCATATCTTTTTGATTTCTGATATGTTAATTTAAAGTAAACTTTGATAAATATTTTTAATAAATAAAATTTATAAAAATATTATAATTTTATGATATTTTTAAAATATACAAATAATATAAAAGCCGATGGTTCAAAGTATCGTTATGTTATTCCTAAGAAGGTGTATCTATAAATAAATTAAACCTTCAATCAAATCTTAATTCATTAGGCTCAGTTTGGAAGGAGTACAAATATAAATCTATAGAATACAAAACCTTGTATTTTGTATGTATTTGCACCGTACTGAGCCCTAAGCTTATTTAAAATGAATACAAATACAAATATGCATAGAAAATAATACAAAATACAAGGTTTTTTATTCTACATATTTGTATTTGTACTCCTTCCAAACTGAACCTAACTTAATTTGGAAGGAATACAAATACAAATATGTAAGAGTGCAAATCCTAATATTATGTATTATTTTATACATATTTGTATTATACATGTTGTGTACTCCTTCCAAACTGAGCCTAAGGAATTAATGATTTTCTCTGTCAACCTAGCCAATTTGATTATAACTTGATTTACCCATGACCCTGATGAGTTAAGCCATTGTTTCATTTTCAAACTAACCCATACTCATCATGTCCTTAATGTTGTGTTTGGTTGCAGTGCAATTTTATTTGTACTAATACAAATGCATGGGAGTGCAGATGAAAAAGAAAATGTAAAATTTGGTTTTTACTTTATTCTACTATAAGTCTTATTTTGCTTCATTTTTAGTACAACCAAACAAAGTAAGATAAATTTTGAAATAAAAATAAATCAAAACTTGCAGCCAAATCAGTTGCACTACCATAGTCTTGCATTGGTGCAAATGAATTTGCAGTGCAACCAAACATAGCCTAAACTTTGAATTCGTGTTGTAGTCTATTAAGCTGTTAAAAATAATTGAAAAAGGCTATTTTAATGTATAAATGATTCAAAGCTTCATTTGATGTTTCTCGATTTTCAATTTTTTTGATCTTTCTGCATGTTCAGCTTTTAGTCTTTCGATTTATGTGATATCAAATAGAAAAGGACCATTTTTGGTCTTTTGAACATCTTACAAACCAAATACACACTTAAAAGATGCACCAAACACCACCTTAATCAGTGCCCATTGCAAAAGTTGTTGATCGAGTTAAATGGGTCAAGCTTTTCATGGTTATCTTGCCAATGTTGTAATTTTCATTGGCATATTGTCTGGTTGTTGGTCTGTGGCAGATTCAACCACTTGCACGGTTAACAGTTGTTGACTAACTGTAGCGCCTACCTGTTCATGGGCCGGGCCCCCTAAACATGAACATTTTACATTTTACACTACTTCATGCTTTGGACTTTTGGGCTAGGCCCATTCAAATTTTGACAAAAAAAAAAAAAACCTAAACCTGAGCTCCGCCCAAGAATATGTCTATCACTATGTGTTTCCTATCAAATGCTTTATCTAAAATGTCAATAGAGGACTTTAGAGAGGTTAAAGCTTTATTTTCAAAACACGCAAGATAGGTTTAAGTAATTTACCCTTTAAAAATGACAACCTAAGATTAGCCATCATTGAAAAGGGAGAATGAAAGGTTGAAGTTCACATCTGTGCCCCATAAACGCCCCACATGCATATCTCGGTGTGCATTAGAAATATCCCCCAATGATAAGTATGGGAGATATTCCTAATACACGGTTGGGATGTGTTGTGGGGCACAAATGTGAATTCAAAGGTTGCATATACATGGGGCTTACGTGGGACCTAGACATTATATGCAGGAAACATTTGGCATTGTTCACTCTATGTTAAATTGCCCAATTGGCTATGCATGATTTTGTCTCTAGTCAATCACAATTAGAATGAAAGGTAGCTGTATGTTTGAAATTCTACAATTTACATAAAATTCACAAAGTCCAATTATCACTTTGCTTGGTGTGAGCATCGGAAAAACAGCTCACTTGAGTTGACCACCCACCAGTTAAGGAAATGGAAGTGATGGGATTTTCGAGAATTGCATCAAAACTCTTTTTTGTTTAATAGTGGCTCCAGAGCCCAATGCACCAAATAGTTAGTGATATCAAACATGCAAAAAAGTAAAGCGGATAAAATCATAGCTGAATAGCATCGTCATGTACAATGTAAATAACATGATTAACAAAACCAAACATCAAGTAAAAGAACATACTTACTAAAAACAAGTTACATAAGAGAAAATTTCACATACACTTAACTTTCAATCTAGGAGAGTATACTTATTTGGAATGTGAAATTATTAAATGCAGCCCCCTTTCTTGTTTCCTACCATAAATATTAGCATTTGTTCTTTCTTCATTTTATTTATATTTATTTATTTATTCTTTTCTTTTCTTTTTTTGGTCCTTTGTCTTGAATTTTGAACACATTTAAGCTTAGGAAACCTTTTATTCAACTTCCAACAAGGCCTTAATTATTTAATCTAAGTGAACTTCCAAGGCTTCTTCAGGGTTTGTAAGATTACTTTTCGTGAATGATTTTAAAGCCTCTCTCTATTTTCAGCATTTGATCATGTTTATCCTCAAAGAATAATGTTGTAAATTCTCCCAAACATCTCCACAATAAGAAGATCAATAATTCAATCAAGATCAAGAGAAGCAAACCTACCCAAGAAGCTAGAAACTCACTCTCATTTCAGCATTCCAAGTCAATAAAACATCAAATTAAAAGAATAATGCCGAAACCTCTTCCAATGTCTCCAAAATAGATGAGTTCAAGAATCAAGGATTTTAATGAAACCATTCTCTAAAACTAAAATTAGACTAAGTCTTTATTTTATTGCCCACAAATGAAAAAACAAGAATTAAACTATGAATCCTAAAGCTAATTTATTCTACCTCACCACACATGATACCCAATTTGCTTGCATTTTATTCATGCTTATCCTAGAAACAACCAATTACATCATTTACCCACTAACCTAGAACCAAAATATTTCAAAGCTCTCACCATACCCCTAATTTACATACTTCATTTGAGTTTCAATATTTAAATCTTGGATTTTTCCACTATGTGGCATGTTTCCTATTAGCCTAAATGATCAACATGACTTTTTTATTTCAACTCGACTTAACCTCTTTGATTGTGTTATTCTTGGACAAAACATGTATAGTTTATTTCATCTTTAAACCCCATCCCAAAGACCTATTTCATTGAAGCATTAATTCCAAAAAAGCATATGAGAATCCGCATTTCAGCATAATTGAAATTCATAAGACAAATCTTCTGTCATTTATCATCATGAACATTAATATTTCATTGCAAGCGTTTAATCAAAAGCCGTCATGCTTATCATAACATCAATCTTCTAAAGCTCCACATAAAGCATACAACATTTCAGCATCACATTTAGAACAAGTCTTTAGACCACAAAATATTTATCACAAATGAATTCAAGAAAAGCCACATAGAACTTTCCTACTCCAGCATAGATATGTTTCCAAAAACTTGTATCTTTCAAACACTAGTCAAAGAGGACCCCCAACCCAGAAATTTCAGCAATGAACATGCTTTTAAATCAAACCTCCTTCACACATTTGGATAAAAAAGAACCCAAAAACCCAGAAATTTCACTAATAAAAGGTTTTTAAAATCATCACCCTTCACACTCTTGGAACAAAAAGAAACTAAAACCCAAAATTTTTATCAATGAACATAATCACAAAACTTGCATTTTTCACACATTGGGGTTAAAGAGGACCCAAAACCTAGAAATTTCAGCAATAGCAAAGCTTTTAAAATCAACATTTTTCACATGTTGGGGACCAAAGAAGTCCCAAATTCAGCAATGAGAATGCTTCAAAAGACAACCTTTTTCACATGTTAAGGACCAAAGAAATCCCAAAACCTAAGAATTTTAGAACTAAGGCCCTGTTCGCTTTTCGGTAAGTTATTTACCCGGGTAAATGCAGTTACCTGGGTAAGTTCTTCTTGGGAAACACTTACCCAGGTAAGTGCATTTATCCATGTTCTTTTATTTCTCATATAAATAAGGCAATCACCATTTTAGTCATAAAAGTCCATTATTAAAAAGGGCATTTTTGTCCCATTCAAGTATTGACAATTTTCCCCCTAGGTGAGAAAGTTATTTACCCACCTAGGAGGTGGGGTAAGTGATACTCAGGAAAATAAACTTTCCCTGGTCCCCACATAAATCTAAAAAAAGAACATGGGATTCTTGGTCAATGGGAACCAAAATCCCATTGACCAACTTTCCCCCTCTCAAAACCCAAAAAAAGAATGCCCCCTAAGAATGTTTTTGGAATCAACATTTTTCACATGTTAAGGACTAAAGAAATCCCAAAACCTAAGAATTTCAGCAATAAGAATGTTTTTATAATCGACCTTTTTCACATGTTGAGGACCAAAGAAAATCTAAATTCAAAAATTTCAGCAATGATGTTCTTACAAAAAAGATCAAATTCATCATGTTGAGTTGACAACCACACAAAACAAGTGACATTTCAGCATGAATCATGTTATATAACCATTCAAACTCATTCAATATTAGATTCAAAAACAATAAACAACTTGAAATTTAAGCATGTAAACAAGTATCCCATTATCATTCTATCATGTCATGCGTTCAAGAATGTGAATTCACCCAAAATCTTACACCAACTCATGCCAAATCAAAATTTGGGAGAATCTCGACATGTTATCATTTTGTA